AGTTCTATCGTGAGCTGCTTCTTCCCACTCATTCTGAATGTTAATCCTCTTTAAGTTTTCGTGGAAAATGTCCTTGTACCTTTTGACTTGTCCACCCGGCCTCCTCTTACCGTCTACAAGCTCATCGTAAAGCGGAGATTTTGGTACGCGGTTTTCTTGCATTCTGCATACGTGACCAGCCCATATTAAGCGGGATTTTGTAACCATAACTTCACTACTCTTGCAGTTAGGTTTTTCAAGGACTAATATGTTTGAGACATGATGGAACCATTTGATTCTTAAGAGTTGTCTAAGGTGTCTCTGTTGCAACTTGTTTAATGCGTTCATGTGTCGGCGGTACGGCACCCAGGTTTCGCTCCCATAAAATATGGTGGGGATTATTATTGCTCGGTACACTGCAAGTTTCGTTTTTGTGCTCAAGTCATGGTTGTAGAAAACCCTGTCTTTTAATTTCCAGAAGGCTCAAGAGGCGCTGCTAATCCTGTACTGAATTTCAGAGTCGATATTGGCCTCCTCCTAAATCAAACTGCTGAGGTAATCGAATTCTGCTACATATTGCAATAGTTCTTCTCCGAATTTTATAGCATTGTTGTGATCTTCTGGGGGAGTGCACATTATTTTAGTTTTGTCGATATTTAGCTTAAGACCCAAAGCCTCGTATGCCCAGATATATGTGTTCAACATTTCTTGTAATTGCTGTAACATTTTTGCAAATAGAGCGCAATCATCAGCGTATTGAAGTTCTGTGATAAACTGTGTACGTGTTTTTGCCCTGAGTCTTCTTATGTTGAACAGACTACCGTCGTATGTATTTGATGCCCAATTCTCTCTTCTGTAGTTTGCTTCCACTATAATGGAGAGCGCTGCCATGAATATGTTGAATAGGAGAGGCGCTAAAACACATCCTTGCCTAACTCCTTTATTTGTTAGGAAGGGATCGCTCAGTGATCCATGATGGTGACAAGTGATCCAAATGCTATTTATCGAACCTACATCATGTGATGGTTTGGATAAGTTTGATGGGGCAGTTGTGAGTTGGACTATTTAGTAAGGATTTCCGAAAAAAGTCATTAACGATTAAAATTTTAACTAAACGTTTTTAGTTTTCAAATTATGTTTTATAGTAATTTTTGCGTTTTTCAAGTAATGTTTAGTGTTTTTCTTTAAGATGGTTCGCCAGTGCTTAGTTAGCAAAAAGGTAGACTTCTAGTCCTAAATTGATATTTCGGCGTTAAGTGACTTTACACATTTTTTAGCTTTAACCATATATTTAAGTTTTAAGTAGGATAATAACGAAAAGGATTATTGAAAATAAAATTATACCGATACTATTTTTATGGACTTATATCTAGAATTCTCATGTACTATTACTATAATAGAGAGATATTTATATATTATTTTTAAATTATACAGGGTGTCCCAGAAATAAGTGCAGATATTTTAAGGGGTGCTGGATCTGGCCAAAAAAAAACATTTCCTCTTTACCATTTTTAAAATAAATTAAAAATAACCGAGTTATTTAACTTTATTATAGAAATTTTAAAAAAATTATGATAACATTGTGAGAATCGCCAACACCATCTATTGGATGGTCCACCCCTGGATCTCAGATAATTTTGACGCCCTGTGTTGCCGCATAGTCAAGAAAGTATATATGCTTAAAAATAAATCAGAAATTCACACCACCTGAGGAGTTTAGCAGAGATTGTAGATATGCATTACATTTTTAAGATGGTGTTTACATTAGACAAAATAAATTAAAAAAAAACTTACCCACAACGTTAAAAAAAGATACTTATGGCAGATTTAGTAATGACAGTAAAGTGACTGTGACAGTTCTTTTTTTTCGATACACACTTAACTAAAATACAATTCACTGTGCTGCTTTACTTGTACAGGGTGTCCTATTAAGAATAGCTCTCGGCTCTATCACGGAAAGTATTAGACGTAGGGCATAGGGAAAAAATATTTATAACGAAAGAGGCTATGAGTTTGTTCAACCACCAAGATTACTTACTTAATTCGTATTTCCGAAAACATTTTTGTTTTCTTTTGGGTTGCCAAGGTGCCTTTGTTCTAAGTATTCTTGTAGGACATTGACGCCCAATGGGTTTTGCCAGTACTTGGATATTTAGCAAGTACTTTATTAGCACCCTATAGGTGTTACTGGCACTTGAATATTTAGCAAGTGCAAATAAGACTTTGAACTTGAATATTTAGCAAGTAATTTTATTAATAAAAAAAAAATAAATACGGGAGCTATTATTATTTATTATCTTGTACGACATTGACGCCCAGTGGGTGTTGCCGGTACTTGGATATTTAGCAAGTACTTTATAAGCACCCTATAGGTGTTACTGGCACTTGATTATTTAGCCCATTAAGAGCCCACCATGCCCAGAGTAATATTTCGGTTCCGTTAAATAATAATTATAGGTTTACTTCCCATCGAGCCGATACGAAAAATTACTTATACTTGAGTTCATAAAAGTTGTTTATTTACCGGATTCGATAATGCTATGCATCATGAATGGTATGTTTTAAGGCAGGCACAATTTACGGCCGCGTCGCCGAATCAATAATATAATTTTAGGCAATGCGGGGTGTAGAATAATAGACTACACCCCCTAGACCATCTCATAGCTAGTAGGGTCTCATAGCGTAGTAGGGTCTCATAGGGTATCATCTCATAGGGTAGTAGAAATACTTCCCTTGTTTACTGAACTAAAAAAAAACTAATTAGGGAATTAAATATTATTTACTTACCTAATTCATATTTATCGAGTTTCTTCATTTCCCGCCTTATCTTGACCAGGTCTTTCCCCCTATTTCTCTTTGCTTTGCTTATTTCCGCGAATTTTGTACAAAACTTCGTCTGCTAAGTATAATGAGACACGAAAGTGAATAGTCCTAATAAATCCGTCCTTTATGATTATCGCATGTGCGCATGCGCATGCCGAGACATCCTAAAACGGCGGAAAGTGACGCCTAGCGACAATATTTCTGCAAGAGCACCTGTGGCTCCGTGGTTGAGGTTATTGCTTCGTAAGCGAATGGTCTGTGGTTCAAATCTCACACCGTACCAAAAAACGCTTATAGCGTGATTTGATTGCATTGGTTTCACTTTTCACTCTTTTTGGTTGGATTGGTTCAGTTATTTGGCGGGTTGGTTAGCGTGGTTATTTGGAGGGTGTTAATTCATTGGTTAGTTGGTTATTTGGTGGTGTTGGTTGGTTTTTACCTAATTTAAATTTTATACGCAAAGTTAAAATTTATTGTACAACAAGAATATTAATAAGAACTTAAAAGTAGCAAACAATCCAGAAGCTCCTAATTTAGAGCATTCGTAGAAATAACTATAAAAGTGAAATCGAAAATGTACCTATTTCATTTTGCTGTTATTTCCTAGAAATAAATTAATTAATTTGTTTTTAAATGTTTTCTTTGAGAATGCATATTTATTTAAAAGTCAACAATTTAAAAACGTGTATCTAAATAATGTTCTAGCACCAGTCGAATAATTTTTTACGTCACGTGTAAAAATTTTTAGATACATCTCTGGGCTGACTGGCGCTTACGCGGCTATTGGTTTTGGCGAGAGAGCTCGCCGCTCTAGTGTTTCCCCTCTTTCGAATCGCAAATCCGAGCGTAAAAAGATCAAAGCGGCACGCTACACTGTCCGAGCTGGTTTTTACTTAAGCTGTGATGGTACCATCTTAGGTTTAGTCTTCTTCTAGGTCTTTTAATTCCTCCTGGGTACCATGCTGTAATTTTTGTGGTTCATCTGTTGTTCGCAGGACACCTTCTGGCCAGGTGTCCTGCCTATTGCCACTTGAGGGATTTGATTCTGTGGATGACATCTATTAGCTGTCGTATCCACTCTATTCTTTTACGGGCTTTCTTGGTTATTCCCAGCATATTTTGTTCCGATCTGCTCATGCAGGAACGATATGATAGATACCATGGGATGGATAAAAATCTAGCAAGGTCAAAACTTCTCCAACAGTGGCAAGAGAAATGGTGGTGAGAAAGTGGTTAATACCCGACATACAACTATGGTTAAACAGACAATATGGAGAAGTCTATTACTTCATGAATCAAGCATTGTCTATATAGTTAAAGGGGAAGAACAATGGAAGCTAATATATCGGATGGTCCGAAATATAATAAGTTGTAAAGGGAGGGAAGAGAGACAATGAGCAGCATGAAGTAAATCTTTAGACACCCTTTGCACTGCAATAATGCGAGAGCGGGTTCCAGTGTAAAGTGGTTATTGGAGGAGGTTTTTTAGCCGGTAGGGATCCAACTGTGCGTGTCTTATGCAAGATTTTTCCCTCCTCATAAAAAAGCATATTTCGTTCCATTGAGCATTGTGCGACCTGCAGTTTTCTTATAATGTCCGTTTTAAGTGTCTACTGGTGGTACACATTGATCGAATGTTTTCTTCTTTAGATAAAGTGGACTTCTAAGTTTGAATATGATTGAGTTTCTTCCATAAGTACTCCATGCTAACTTAATTCTTCTGTTGATTTCTAGCAGTAGTCTTGGTAGTAGTGTTGATTTGTTTGATTGATTTGATGATTTGCTTAGTCTTGGTAGTAGTGTTGATTTCTAGACCATTGTAGTATTTATCAAAATAAAAATAAAAACTGTTAAAAGTAACACTTTGTTTTAATTATTTTATTAGAATATGTCGACTTGCAATTTCCAAGTCATAATGATTATTACTAAAAATATTATTTATTTAAATATTTTCCATGTACGATGTGCCATTGAAGACTTGGAAAAGTATTACAGCAACACCAATTCACAAGACTGCAGCCTGCAAGACCAAGGGACCTCTTATTAACTGCAAAACCAAAATCAAGACCAAGGGAGTCTTTGTTTTGAAAGATTTACTAGTGATGAGATCTTACAACATTTTGCAGTTGAAAAACTGCGTTGCTCGACTTGTCATTTTTTACAATTTATGTTGTCGATGTGATGTTATTATACAGTACCTCGAAAATAATCAAAATATATAGACCGACTAAAACCAGAGCAGCATAAATGATGCCATCATCTGTACTGATAGGGCTCAGATTGTACCCCATTGCAATGGGAAGGTTCGTTTTCAAATTGGACTTGAACTGGAACCTTAGAAATGTGAAAGATGAGTTATCGACGTCATGTAGATCCAAATCAAAAGTTTTTTCGGCTTTTATTTCGGGAACAAAACCTATAAGCTTTTCTGTTACTAAGGGAACAGTCCATAATTTGGATACATTCTGTAATGAAATAATAATAAATTATTAATATCGTTTAGACAGACATATTAATGAAATGTGTTAATTTTGTTAATAATTAAAATAATGTTAATTATTTTACACTTATGATACCTTATGATATTAATCATAATATACACTCAAATGCAACGGAAAAATTTTTGGTCAAGTTTTTTTTTTTAAATTTTTAGCCCTATTTCCTTTGATTTTTTTAGCAAGCTGTATTATAAATATAACAACTTTTATTCGTAGACTCAGTTTATTATAAACTTTTGTATTTGACTTATTATACAAGGTTAATCGAAGAGTTGGATTTTACCCTATCTTTAAAACACCCTGTGCAATAATTCCATGAGCCTAATTTTTCGGTGAGATCCATGTCTCCTAAGTATTTTATTTTTTAACTCATGTCAACACATACGAACTCAAAATGAACTTTTCATTTTTTGATTAGAACTCTATTTTAAATTTTAATATAGAGTTCTAATCAGTATCGATATGACATTACGGCAATAGTCACGAAAGCCATCTTGTGGTATTTAAAAATAACATTATAAAGTAATGATAGTTGAAAAAATTGCAGATTGTTGGTGGCAAGTTTATTTTGTTCCTAAAAATTAACCAAGGGTTTTGTTGACATGAGTCAAAAAACAATTTGCTCAGGAGACATGGTTCTGATAAAAATAATGTTTTAGGAAAAAGAAATTATTGCACAGCATGTTTTAATGTTAGGTTGAAAAACAACCATTGAATAATAACCAACCTGTAAATCACAACAAATAATAAAATTTATAAAAAAACTGAGTCTATGAATTAAAGTGGTTAGATTTATATACAGTTTGCTAAAAAATAATGAAAATTGGGCTAAAAGTAGAAAAATATCACTTTACATGATAAAAAAACTACATGTACTGATTTCTTTCGAAAATCGACAACTATGAAACTATAATCGCTTCCCCGACACAAACGGTATATTGTGAGACAGGAAATTGTAGAGAGAAACAAGCGCTATAACATAGGATACAACATTTTAATGAACAGTGCTTTGTATAAAATCAATAAAATGAAAAATATACGAAATAATATACATGTACTGATTTCTTTCAAAAATCGACAACTATGAAACTATGATCGATTCCCCGACACAAACGGTACATTGTGAGACAGGAAATTGTAGAGAGAAACAAGCCCTATAACATAGGATACAACATTTTAATGAACAGTGCTTTCCATAAAATTAATAAAATGAAAAATATACGAAATAATATACATGTACTGATTTCTTTCGAAAATCGACAACTATGAAACTATGATCCCTTTCCCGATACAAACGGTACATTGTGAAACAGAAAATTGTAGAGAGAAGCAGGCCCTATAACATAGGATACAACATTTTAATGAACAGTGCTTTCCATAAAATTAATAAAATAAAAAATATACGAAATAATATACATGTACTGATTTCTTTCGAAAATCGACAACTATGAAACTATGATCCCTTCCCCGATACAAACGGTACATTGTGAAACAGAAAATTGTAGGGAGAAACAGGCCCTATAACATAGGATACAACATTTTAATGAACAGTGCTTTCCATAAAATCAATAAAATGAAAAATATACGAAATAATATACATGTACTGATTTCTTTCGAAAATCGACAACTATGAAACTATAATCCCTTCCCCAACACAAACGGTACATTGTGAGACAGGAAATTGTAGAGAGAAACAAGCCCTATAACATAGGATACAACATTTTAATGAACAGTGCTTTCCATTAAATTAATAAAATAAAAAATATACGAAATAATATACATGTACTGATTTCTTTTCGAAAATCGACAATTATGAAACTATGATCCCTTTCCCGATACAAACGGTACATTGTGAAACAGAAAATTGTAGAGAGAAACAGGCCCTCTAACATAGGATACAACATTTTAATGAACAGTGCTTTCCATAAAATTAATAAAATGAAAAATATACGAAATAATATACATGTACTGATATCTTTCAAAAATCGACAACTATGAAACTATAATCCCTTCCCCAACATAAACGGTACATTGTGAGACAAGAAATTGTAGAGAGAAACAAGCGCTATAACATAGGATACAACATTTTAATGAACAGTGCTTTCCATAAAATCAATAAAATGAATAATTATACGAAAAAATATACATGTACTGATTTCTTTCAAAAATCGACAACTACAAAACTATGATCCTTTCCCGGACACAAACGGTACATTGTGAGACAGAAAATTGTAGAGAGAAACAAGCCCTATAACATAGGATACAACGTTTTAATGCACAGTGCTTTCCATAAAATGAATAAAATGAAAAATATACAAAATAATATACATGTACTGATTTCTTTCGAAAATCGACAACTATGAAACTATGATCCCTTCCCCGATACAAACGGTGCATTGTGAAACAGAAAATTGTAGAGAGAAACAGGTCCTATAACATAGGATACAACATTTTAATGAACAGTGCTTTCCATAAAAATAAAATTAAAAATATACGAAATAATATACATGTACTGATTTCTTTCGAAAATCGACAACTATGAAACTATAATCCCTTCCCCAACACAAACGGTACATTGTGAGACAAGAAATTGTAGAGAGAAACAAGCGCTATAACATAGGATACAACATTTTAATGAACAGTGCTTTGTATAAAATCAATAAAAATGAAAAATATACGAAATAATATACATGTACTGATTTTTTTCGAAAGTCGACAACTATGAAACTATGAACCCTTCCCGGACACAAACGGTACATTGTGAGACAGGAAATTGTAGAGAGAAACAAGCCCTATAACATAGGATACAACATTTTAATGCACAGTACTTTCCATAAAATGAATAAAATAAAAATATACGAAATAATATACATGTACTGATTTCTTTCTGAAAATCGACAACTATGAAACTATAATCCCTTCCCCAACACAAACGGTACATTGTGAGACAGGAAATTGTAGAGAGAAACAAGCGCTATAACATAGGATACAACATTTTAATGAACAGTGCTTTGTATAAAATCAATATAATGAAAAATATACGAAATAATATACATGTACTGACTTCTTTCGAAAATCGACAACTATGAAACTATGATCCCTTCCCGACACAAACGGAACGTTGTGAGACAGGAAATTGTAGAGAGAAACAAGCCCTATAACATAGGATACAACATTTTAATGAACAGTGCTTTCCATAAAATCAATAAAATTAATAATTATAATAGAAAAAATATACATGTACTGATTTCTTTCAAAAATCGACAACTATAAAATTATGATCCTTTCCCCGGACACAAACGTACATTGTGAGACAGGAAATTGTAGAGAGAAACAAGCCCTATAACATAGGATACAACATTTCAATGAACAGTGCTTTCCATAAAATGAATAAAATGAAAAATATACGAAATAATATACATGTACTGATTTTTTTCGAAAATCGACAACTATGAAACTATGAACCCTTCCCGGACACAAACGGTACATTGTGAGACAGGAAATTGTAGAGAGAAACAAGCCCTATAACATAGGATACAACATTTCAATGAACAGTGCTTTCCATAAAATGAATAAAATGAAAAATATACGAAATAATATACATGTACTGATTTTTTCGAAAATCGACAACTATGAAACTATGAACCCTTCCCGGACACAAACGGTACATTGTGAGACAGGAAATTGTAGAGAGAAACAAGCCCTATCTATAACATAGGATACAACATTTCAATGAACAGTGCTTTCCATAAAATGAATAAAATGAAAAATATACGAAAATAATATACATGTACTGATTTTTTCGAAAATCGACAACTATGAAACTATGAACCCTTCCCGGACACAAACGGTACATTGTGAGACAGGAAATTGTAGAGAGAAACAAGCCCTATAACATAGGATACAACATTTCAATGAACAGTGCTTTCCATAAAATGAATAAAATGAAAAATATACGAAATAATATACATGTACTGATTTTTTTCGAAAATCGACAACTATGAAACTATGAACCCTTCCCGGACACAAACGGTACATTGTGAGACAGGAAATTGTAGAGAGAAACAAACCCTATAACGTAGGATACAACATTTTAATGAACAGTGCTTTCCATAAAATCAATAAAATGAAAAATATACGAAATTCCGTCGATTTTTTTTTGCATCTGTGTGTATATAGATGACCAATCTCTAATTATTTATTTAGCAACGAAAGCAGTTGATAAATGTAAGTAATAAACAGAATAATTTTTTTCTTTTTTTTTATTCAAAAATCCTTAAGAATACAAATATTTCAAATATTTTTTTTTACTAAAAATGTCAGTTAGTGTTGACCAATCTTACCTGCATTGAAATGACGTCTGCAGATTTTAAATCTGATGTACTTCTAGGCTTCCTCTTCACCACTAGAAGTTGTATCCAAACATTTAATCGGTCCACAGTGAGATTCCTGTAGTAAGTTGGAAGCATTGCCCCTTCTAGCATTATTTCTACTTTCTTTGTATTTTCGTCTTTATGAATAACATAACCTAATTAAGAAGAAGAAAATATAGAAAAATCCCTGTATATACTATAATAGATATTTTTTCAAATGTCACAAAAGAAATTTTTTAAGCCAAGGTTAAGCACAAAAGTATGAAAATATACAGCGACACCACTTAAACTTTAAGTTGCATAATCTAGGGCGCGATTTTTAAATTCATTGTTGCCAACCATGGACATATTCGGCGCCTGGCTGACTAACTGGAATTTAAATTTCCCGCTGGGGATTCAGGTGGTAGCTCTGCTGTAAAAAATGTCAAGTTGCCACATTTATTTATCTATTTCCTGACATTGTCATTCGTTTTGACACTTTTGGTTTAAAGGAATTGTGTTGTGATACTTTAAGCTTAATTTTTTTTACTAGCATACCTTGCAGTTGAACATTGTTCTTTTTAGAACCTCCTTTAGTGAGAAGTGTACCAGATAGATTAATAGCCATTACAAAAAACTCATCACAACCTTATTAGAATATTTTGAACGGAAAAGTGGTAGTAATGGCCCTTTATGTCCCTTAAGTGCTGTAAAGGAGGTGAGTTTTGTTGATGTAAATAATAACTGTTTATATATTTATAATTAATTTATTTTTGTTTTCTAAAATATTTTAATTGGAAGAAAATATGTAAAAAAGTAGGCAACGCTGAGCCGGTCAAGCTTTATCATGTGACTAAAAGTTTATCTGGTATGATCTCAAATACAATGAGTTGTAACCATAGTTTTTCAATATTTAATTACTTTCAAGGTATAACTTTTAGAGATTTTTTTATTACTTGCAACCTTTGAATAAGAAGACTAAGGAAGGAGCATATCAAAAATCTTAGGTACACCGCGATGGGCCTCAAATTTCCGGTTTATCAGTGTCGTTCTAATTTTATTTAAAAAATGTAAAACTATGATGTAGGGTAGACGTGGGGTAGACTCAATAATTTGTTGTTTTATTTTACGTTGTGAATAAATGTTGGTAGTTATTAAAATTGTTATAAAAATATATAATTCTAATAAAAATAGATAAGTTATAATAAGTATTTATTAACACAAACATCCGATACGCTACTGAAGCAGGTAAGTCAAATTAACGTATCTAAATTCTTTGACATCTAATCTTTGACAAGTAATAAATAAAAGCTAAAATGCAAGAAAAATATATAATTTAGTTAATTTAAGTGAATTTCATAAATGATCGGTTTACTACACGTATATATATTATATAATCGCGAAAAGTTGTTCCATTATTTCACTCAATTTTTGCCGAGATCTACCGCACGCTACACAACCAACTATTTTAGAGTCTTTTTCGATAAATCGCGATAGTGTCACTGTTAATTTAAGTTCTGCCACAATTTCCATCTAGATTTACTACCTTTATACAACTATCAGTAGTAGAATAAATAATAAATAACATAAAATAAGCTCCATAAAGATTGACAAATCCACAAAATTTCAAATCAAATTCAAATGTGTCAAATGAATCGTCAAACAGAACTGTCAAGGATCCCCACTCTAGAGAGCTTTTATGGTGCCTTTTCCACCCACCATGCATGAATACATGGATAGCATTATGCTCCTTCCTTAGTCTTCTTATTCAAAGCTTGCAACGTTTGAAATTGTTTAAAAACTTATTAGTGACGTTTGAAAAAAAATAGCATGTCCTATTTTTTTCTTTATATTTTTTTACTAAAAGTCAATTTTAGACTTTTTGTTCCTCGTCTGTAATTGTCAAACGTACAGCCCTACCACAAAGAGTACAATTTTTACTCCTTGTATAACAATATACTATTTTTTATAAAATTATATTGTTTTTTTCTTACTACTAATAGATCCATTTTGTATACTGATCTGATGTGTCGATTGAACTTTCTCGTTGTTCATGAAAAGTGGATAGCTACATAGCAACCAAATCATGATTAGGATGAACATTTTTAAATGCTTTGGGAATGTTTTGCATTCTAAATTGTTAACCATTTCTTCTCTATTCACCCTAGAAAAAAATAGTACATTGTATACCTAAGAGCAAAAGTTAAACATTCCCAAACCAAACCAATATAGTTTTTTCTACGAGGTACTATACAGGGTGGTCCGAACTGTATTCCGGAAACTTCGGCAGCATATTCGGCAGATAAAAATAAGTAAAAAAGTTCGTATAAATATATGTCCTAAAATACTTAGTTTCGGAGATACAGGGTGTAGAAGTTTCATTTTTATTTCGATTTTTAGCAAATAATTTCTGAAGTAACGTCAATATTTGGATGAAAATGGGTGTCTGGGAGATTTTTGTTATGAGAAATTTGGTTTTGATGTCAATATGACTCCTATTTTTAGGGGGCGTCACCTACATGTGTTTTAACTGTTTTGAAGAATAATAACTTTTTTTATCCGTACCTGTATAAAAGTACTGAGTGAAAAAAAAATACATCTCTGTGACTTTTTACGTAAAAAATGTCTCTTGGTAAAAATCCCTACGAGTAACCGTTCTCAAGATATTTAGAATGGAAATAGTCAATACATGTCATTATTGGCAAAAAATAAACACGTTGAGTAGATAGTTATTTGACTGAAATAATAAATTCGAGAAATTTTTATATTTTTAAATTAATCATAATTTTTTCTGCTAAGAAATGATGATAAAACAGCTTCTGTTGAACTTTTGGCACAAAAACATTTCAAATTTATGATTTCAGTCTAATAACTATTTAGTCAACATGTTTAATTTATGTCAATTATGACAGGTATTGATAATTTCAATTCCAAATATTTCGAGAACCATTACTCGTAGCGATTTTCCCCAAGAGACCATTTTTACGTTGAAAATATGGTCAATGTATATTTTTTTACTCAATAGTTTTATACAGGTACGGACGAAAAGTTATTACTCTTCAAACCACTTAGAAAATAGGTAGGTGGCGCCCTCTACAAGTAGGAGTCATATTGACACTAAAATCAAATTTGTCATGTCAAAAAACTCCCTGCCACCAATTTTCATCTCAATATTTACATTAATTCATAAATTATTTGGAAAAAATTGAAATAAAATTGAAACTTCTTCGCCTATGCTGCGCCTATGCTGCCGAAGTTTCCGGACCACCCTGTATAACATACACACAAAAATTGCTATTTCTTCGTGGAAGATTTACTTACATAGAATTGAATATTGAATCATCTAGCGTTTGAGAGTTCATTGGCGATACACATATTTTGATTTGGTTCTCCGTTTCAAAGCTTCTTGCCAAATTATTTCTGCAATTCAAAAAGTTCATTTCTAATAATAAAAAAAGTTATTATGTACTTACCTAAGGACAAGTTCTTTTTCCATGTTTATCTTGAATTATAATTTAATTCTTCAATTTAAATCATCATTTCTTTATTTTAAATAAAATAAACATAGAATCAAGATACACACAGAGATGCAATTTTAAATAATGTTTGTTTTACTTATAAAAAATATATATTCAAAAAATAGAGTTAAAATTCCAGATATTTATTTTGTTTTTTATATCTTAAAATTGTTCATTTTGCGCTTGGTATAGCCACCTTGGAACTAATGACTGTACTTGATGTTAACGTAAAAAAGTTATCTGCTTGAAATACGTAAGATGTTCGGTAGTACCGTACTAGATGGCGCCTTTTAACCGAGAGTAGTTTAAATTCTTCCTTTATTTATTTGATTTTATGTTTTTTGTATAATAAATTCTCCTTGGTACCGGTGTATTTATTATTATTATTATTAAGTACGTCGGTAGGAGAACTTGGAAAATCCTAGCAAATATATACACCGCAGCTGTCTAATTTCTGGCTAATTATTAGTACTACAAAAAAATTGAATTTACTACAATCAATTGCATCGTGTGTAGTTTGGGTACAACTAAAGACATTATGTCAAACTATGTTAATTTTCATATTTTACTATAATTCACTAATTCCAAGGATCTTTTATTGAATTTTTTTGCTACTACATACAACTACAAACGATTTTTAAGGTTTGAGACAGACCGTTGTTAAAACAATATTTTTTCTCTTTATTACATTGCGCACAATTGTTTACTTTTTCTGGCTAATTATTAGTACTACAAAAAAATTGAATTAACACGATTGATCACTTACATCATCCAAACAAAAGAATACGAACTTCCACTAGTCATAACCTTTATAGATTTTGAGAAGGCATTAATAGAATACCCTAAGGCTCTAATAGAAGTCCTAGCACAAGACATTTACAGGCCTTATAGGTATAGAAACTCTTGTCAATATATACAAAGAAGCGAAAGCAAGAATAATGATATATAAAACAATCCCGGAACTGCCAACTGGCAAAGGAGTACGATAGAAAGACGCGATATCTTCAAAGCTGTTTACAGCAACACTGGAAGAAATCAACGGTCACTGGACTGGACCAATAAAGGATTAAAAATAGATAAAGAATGAAAATTTTGCCATTCTTCCTGGTTAATATCTCTCTATCTCTCATGTATTGGTCTACTCTATCTAACCACGTAGTTGTAGGTCTTCCTCTTTTCCTTCTGCTTTGGGGACAATACTTCATTGCCCTTTTTGGCCATCTTTCCCCTCCCATTTTTACGTGCCCATTCCATAGTAGCTGTCTCGATTCGATGTTATCGGTGCTGGTATATATTAGCATTGTTCTTTGCGTGATCTCCTCGTTTCTAATGTGCTCCATCCTTGATATTCGGCATGCTCTTCTAAGAAAGTCCATCTTAACTGACTATACCATCCTTCTTTCTTTTGATTTAAATTGCCAGCATTCGGCACCGTATGTTAAAATTGGCTCTTGAACGATTGTTTATTAGTCTTAATGAATTAGAAGCACAAATTAACGAACTAAATACAGTCAGCAATAACATAGGTCACAAAATGAATTTAGCAAAAACTAAAGTAATGTACAACGAACTAGTAGACAGAAAAGACATTCTAATAATGGAAATAGTAGAAGAATGTAGCAGAATGTAGTAGAATGTAATAAAGGTGCCCGGTGGCGTAGAAGTACAGGCTCTCGTCTACCAATCTCAAGGTAGTGGGTTCGAATCCCACACCCGGCATTTCATCAGCGGACTATTTTTATTAAAATAAAAATAGTTTGGGTACCTAGGTCGACTCAGCCTTAAATGAGTACTTGGGAATCACAATCCTGAGGTAATAATAGGCGGTTGAAGCGTAGTGCTAGCAACATTACCTTCCTTGTATAACGAACGGCTCTAGTATGGCTGTACCTTGCTATTCCCAAGGCGTCAACACGCTATACACATCGGGACAATTCAGAAGTGTGGTCTGGATTTTAACGTGTAAGACAGAGAATAATATAAAGACGGTTGACAGACAGAGAGACAGCATCAATACAGTGTTGCCGGTATTTACGGGTGTGGCCAAGGTAGAGCATATTCATAATGGGAGTACGCATTGAGAGGGGCGGTGCTTTATGTTAAGGTTCGTATACACTATCCGAAAGAACAAAGGAATGAAATTCGGTATATTTGGACAGCAAACCGAATGCATGCGGCCGTTCGCCATTCGGTTCGCTCCATCATCCGTTTCCAGTCGGTATATCAGAGACGTTCGCAAACGAATAAGAATTATAGAACCGCGCGAACAAGACTGGACGTTCGCTCGTTGGATAGTAGCATTCGTTCGTTCGGATAGTGAATACGCACCTTTATGTAGATGAAAGGGTGGGGAAAGGAAATAGATCATCTGAGATCCAAACTATTTTTGCATCATTCTTTTCGCTTAGCTGTTTCGGTGTGTATGTTAAGTGTATACGGGAGCTATTATTATTATTATTGTTGCGGGCCGGTATGGACTCGACCTAACCTCACAATATGGCCCTCCCTCGGATGACCTTAACATCGCATAGACACCGTAATGATTCATTCGTTCGAGAAGAATCGAGTCCCACTGGAATGGACTAGTACATACGAGAACATTCGAAAACCTTCTCTACGCACCTAACGATCTATGGACTATTCTAGAGTTCTTTACCTGTCGGTATAAAAGCCGGCGGCTGTGGCCTACAGGGGGCAGTTACGAATAAGAATTATAGAACCGCGCGAACAAGACTGGACGTTCGCTCGTTGGATAGTAGCATTCGTTCGTTCGGATAGTGAATACGCACCTTTATGTAGATGAAAGGGTGGGGAAAGGAAATAGATCATCTGAGATCCAAACTATTTTTGCATCATTCTTTTCGCTTAGCTGTTTCGGTGCGTATTTTAAGTGTATACGGGAGCTATTATTATTATTATAGAAGAATGTATATATTTGGAAGACAACTAAGACACAGCTTGGGGTCTCTAATACTAGAAATCAGCAGGAGGATTAAGTTAGATTTATAGAAGAAACTTAATCATTTTAAATCTAGAATACCACTTTTTCTAAGGGACATAACATTTGACCAGTGTGTACTACCAGTCATGACCTATGCATGCGAAAGCTGGACACTTCAAACAGACATTATAAGGAAACTGCAGGTTGCCAAACGCTCAATGGAATGAAATATACTGGAAATGAAATAACCAAGAAACACCGTAAAAGAATAGAGTGGATACGACAAAAGACTCAGGTAGTAGATGTCATCCACAGAATCAAATCTCCGAAGTGGCAATGGGCAGAGGACACCTAGCAAGAAGGACGGACAACAGATTGACCACAAAAATTACAGCATGATTAAGAGACCTAGAAGAAGATCAGACCGGAGATGGGACCATGATATTAGGAAATTAGCAGGGATATAGCCAAAAATAGACAACAATTGGCCCAACTACAAAGAGAGTATCTAAATGTGTGAGGGATTCTACAACTATAATTGGAAATGGTTGAATAAGTTGAGAATGATGACGATGATGATGACAGTCCCGCAAAGGCCAACAAAGAGGAAGGCATTTAACGCAAAGTCTGGAGCCGGCTTTATCGTAAAATTCACGTAAACCCAGCTTTAGCTCTCTGACTTCGTCGCGCGCGCCGTCCTTTTCAAACTTTCCCGCCTTTTCCCGCACCCAGCTCGCACCTTTCAAACAGGTGTTTCTTTTACGAGATCAAGTTACCTTTGCGAGCCGCGGTTTCCGATCCTCAGTTGTTTCTCGCGACTTGACCTTTCGCTTGGTGCTGCCCGCCGCCGTCTCGCAGCCGCAGCCTACTGTCCAATCCGTGAAAAATTACTAGATTGCCGTACATCAAAGACAGATTTATGTCGTCGCAATATTTCTTTGTCTAGAATAATTTTAACATTTATTCGATTTGTTTTGTATAGTACCACAATACTTGAAACATGTAAGTACCTACGCATTTATACGTACATAATATATATCGTAGTAAGCGCTGAGAGCATGCAGGAAGCAAATCGGACGACAAATGAGTAACGTTTTTGCATAGCCAATTTCGAGCAAGCTGTGTAATTTTCTCTCTTTCTTTCTCGTTCTCTGTCATTTTTTTTTGTTCTGTTTTGTTGTTTTAAAGCCGTTCTGAATCCAGTTGGCCTAATTTCTCTCGCACACCTACTTATCAAAAAGACATTATTTATGTTGAAACTCGCTTAAAGAATCGGTCGCGTTTCCTTAATTAGTTGATTAATTAAAATCGACTTAACAAAAGTGTTATTCTAAATTAGAGAGATAATTTTTGAAATATTCAATAGCTAGATCGTTTGCTTCTTCATTATCCTCTACCCCTTGGAGACTTTATTTTCTTTGCTTAGTTTGTTCAGTTTCTCTAGTCTCTCATTCTTTGACCAACTGCAAATTGATGATTACTGGATTGGTCGCTTTTAAGGCTGCTTGATTATATTATTCGATAGTTTCTATCTAGAATGTAGTAAAGAGTGAGAGGAGGGTTTATCACCACGAACTTATATATTTATTGTGTCCCCCCCTTGTTTGAGTTATAACTGATCACGCAGTCTATAACTTTTCATACTTGAGGATTTTCGTGTAGTAGAGAGCACAGGATATTTCCCATTCTCCTCTGAAAACATAATGTTCTATCTCCGAGGAGTGGACATCTACCTCCTACAAGGGTATTTACCCTTCCGTGCCCTTCACAGTTCAGGAGCTTGTCTGCGGCTCATGTAGGTACTCGTGAGGTGGAGGCTGGATTGGTCTCTCCTGATACCTTTGTTCTTCCGAATCTATAAGAGAGTATATACACGTATCTCTCTTTCTCTATTGCCTCCTTGGATCTGAGCTGGTCAATTCCTATTGTTAAAACCTGACCATGGCCCTCCTCCCTCGAGTTGATGACCAGCCAACTCGATATCCTTACATTAGAGTTCTGAGCCTGAAATATATTGTGTCCGTTTTATAATATGCTCAAAATACACACAACCAAACTTATATGGAATCATCTATTATTTTTCATAATTTTTGAGATGTATGAAAATTTTGTGTTTATGAATAAAACTCAGTCCTTACCAATGACTTTTAATGAAAAATAATCCATATAGCAATAAAAAAAATTAATCAGTTCCCAAAATAAACAAAATGGATTTTTTTTTGTTTCCGAAACGAACTTAAGATTTAAATTTTTTATGGCCAAAAAGCATAAACGAAAATAATTATTCTTATTAAATTATCCACGTTGTCTTGGGGTATGATTTCCCATTCTGCTAATGCTGCATTAAAAAGCTGTGCGAGATTTCCTGGATTGTTTTGACGAGCTCTAACCGTTCTCTTGAGCTAGTCCCATAAGTGTATGATAGGGTTTAGATCTGGTGAATAGGCAGGCCAGTCCAAAACTATGACACCTTCAGTTTCAAGACATTCTCTAGTCACTCTGCTGGTATGAGGTTAAGTTAAAATTATCCCCAGTTGCAACTCTTCAAAGACTAACGATTAGTTTTAGCACCAAATCAACATATCTCCGACCCGTTAAAATTTGTTGAAGTGGTAACAATGGAGTTTTTGCTCCCAGTATAATAGCTCTCTAGAACATTAAAGTTCCTCCTTTATATCTTGGTACAGATTTGGCAGCCTGAAGTCTCGCTCGTCTTCCTGGAGCTCTGAGAACCCCAATTCGATTATTCGATTATCTTAGGCCAATTCTGGTCTCATCCGAAAAAAGAACATTTTGCCAATTCTCAGTTGTCCAGTTTTGATGTTGAAGGCATCAATTTAGCCGGTCAACTTTATTTTGCCGAGATAACTGAGTGATCCGTAACTCTCTCCTACTATAAAACCCTCGTACACGAAGCCTTTTTCTTATGTTTTCTACTGAAACGTTCACACTTGTAGCTGCCAGAAGTTGTATTTGTAGCTCTGGATGAGAAACATTGGGATTTGTTCTAGCAATTTAGCACACAAGGCGTCTTGTTGTTCAGTTGTGACTCTTCGACGACTTTGTCTGGGCCTATCTTTGTGTGTCCCTAATTCCAAGTACCTTGCATATGTTTTCGATACAACACCCTGGGTAACGCCTACTATCTCTGCTACGTCTCCCTGGAGCATTCCTTGTTCGGCAATAATTCTTCCCCTCTGTACATCTGTTAATCCAACATAAGGCATTTTTTAAAAATTTTTGGATTGAATGAAAATTACCGGACAATCCTGATTTGACTACTGAACACAAAATTCCAAAGAAAATAAATCGCAGCAGTCGTTTATTCTTTATTACCATGTTTATTTACAACAAAAAGCTTTATCTTAAAATTGTATACGAATTTTTATCCTTGCAAGAAATTTAGTCAGAAATAAAGAGTGATTCCATATAAGTTTGGTTGTATGTATCCACGGATTATGCTGACAATAACCAAGAAAAGCCTTTAAAATAGAGTGGATACGACAAAAGACCCAGGTAATGGAAGTTATCCATAGAATGAAATCTCTCAAGTTGCAATGGTCAGGACACCTCAAGAACGGTAAATTAATAGGATTGCTCATCCTTATAAGACGTACGTTCGCCTCTTCCCGCGCTTCAGCTGACAGTTGTGACGTCATTATAGTCCTTGTCATGATAGTGTGTATTATTAGTTGCCTATGGTAAACTTATAAAAATAACAGCTGAGAAATTTTGAGTTAATTATTTTGTCAATTTTAAATGCGAAAAAGGTGTCTTTAAAGTTTTTAGAGCTATAGAGTGTATAAATACGTTCATTTTGTGTTGTGGATTGTGACAAAGTGCTTACTAAGTGCCTACGATATTGTTTATTAATTATTTTAAAACAAAATATGGAAGTACTCTAAAAAGAATGCTTGCAAAAGGTGATGTTGGAAATTGCTGTTCTTAAAAATGCATTATCCGAGTATTTAATACGATATATACAGTTAATTTTCTATACTGCATACATATAAGGTGTTTAAATAAATAAACTAAATAATGAACGTTTTGCATTCGGCAACCAATAATGCACGTGTGTGTATTATTGGTTGCCGGATAAGAACTAATAACCATGACAAGGACTACAATGACGTCACAAAGCGAGTAGTTTTCGCATGCACCTGGCGGACACTTTTGGCTGCATGAGCAGTCCTATTAGGTTAACTGTTCTTGAGGACACCTAGCAAGAAAGACGAACGGTAGATGGCCAACAAAAATTACAGTATGGTACCCAGAGGAATTAAGAGCCCCAGAAGAAGACTTAACCTGATGTGGGACCATGATATTAGAAAATTAGCAGGGATAACTTGGGCCCGCATATAGCCAACAATACACAACAATGTGCCCATTACAAAGAAATTATCTAAATATTCGAGGGACATATTAATTGGAAATGGTTGAATAAGATGAGAATGATACATATATCGCAGATATATTATTCTTTATACATACGCTGTCCTTGAATTCGTTATTTCTTTGAGCGTACGTATTCACGCGGCACTTATGAATAAGACTTTTTGAAGGAAAACAAGAATGAAGACATACCGAAATTAATTAACATAAATTAGCATGTTAAGTACATAAGAAAAGTTACCTTTGAATGTGTTTGCTTATTTAATCGGTTGAACAAATACGTGTGGATATGCTTCTGCTTATATTGGACATTTTATATCGACTCCAGTGTTATTATAACTTTTTTGGAACCCTAAGATAACCATGTAGGCATATTTTATACAGTAATACACCTTTGTTATTTTATTTTTTGATATAACAATAAAGAAAGTTCATTTTTATAACTAGGTAACTAAACAGAATATTTATTGTTTTAATATATCCTTGGTAAAATAAATTTTGTGTGTAATAGATAGATACGTTTTTTTGACAATTATTACTAAACAAACCACAAACGTGCGACTTTACTAGTAACTAGTAACCTTGATTTAAATTATACAAACCAATGCTTTCGATCTAAGAAAATTGATTTTTGATGATTTTTTGGTAAACTGTATATAAATAAATCAGCTTTAATTCGCAAATTCAATTTTTTATAAGCTTTAGTATTGGGCTTTATTATACTGGGTTTATCGAATGGTTGTTTTTACTCTAACTTTAAAACACCCTATGCAATCATTTCGTTAGCAAATTTTCCTTAAAACATTATTTTCGGTCAGAACCATGTATTCTGAACATTTTGTTTTTTGGATCATGTCAATACATGCGAAATGAACTTGCCACCAACAATTTGCAATTTTTTCAATTATCATTACTTTTTGATGTTATTTTTCAATATGACGAGATGGCTTTGGTGACTATTGTCGTAATGTCATATTACGCTGCATTGGATACACTATACTAAATTAAAGAATATACAATATAGTCCTGGTTTTAAACAGTAATAACGATAACAAAACTAAAGATTTTAAATAAATCACCTGTAATAATCCAGTATACAAACAGAAAAAAATTGTAAAAAATACTTTGTATTGCCTCCCTTGGCTGCTATAACTGCCTGAGATGTACGTTCATACTGTCACTGAGGCTGCATAATATATCTATATATCATATTGCGTTATGTTATCGCATTCTTCTTTAAAGACCAAGCGAAGTCCATTTAATGAAGCTGGTGTCCGCTTCGCGACCTGTAACCTTCCTGCCCAAGCATTTCCTAAACGTGTTCTATAGGGTTCAGATCTGCCGAACATGCTGGACAGTTCATAACAATTTTATAGTTTACAATAATCACCAAAGCCACCTCGTCATATTGAAAAATAACATAAAAAAGAAACGACAACTGAAAAAAATGCAAATTGTTGGTGGCAAGTTCATTACGCTCTTAAAAATTAACCAAGGCATATATTGATATGATCCAAAAAACAAAATACTCACGAGATATGGTTCTGAACGAAAAATAAATTTTTAGGAAAATTTACTCACGAAATTATTGCACAAGGTGTTTTAAAGTT